TAAAAAAAATCATAAATATATCTGGCTTTTTTTTTTTTGCACAGATTTTAAGTTACAAAATCCCATAACTCTAGTAAAATATATTACCCATAACTCTAGTAAAATATATTTCCCATAACTCTAGTAAAATATATTACCCATAACTCTAGTAAAATATATTACCCATAAATCTAGTAAAATATATTACCCATAAATCTAGTAAAATATATTACCCATAACTATAGTAAAATATATTACCCATAACTCTAGTAAAATATATTTCCCATAACTCTAGTAAAATATATTTCCCATAACTCTAGTAAAATATATTACCCATAAATCTAGTAAAATATATTACCCATAACTATAGTAAAATATATTACACATAGCTCTAGTAAAATATATTACCCATAACTCTAGTAAAATATATTACCCATAACTCTAGTAAAATATATTACCCATAACTCTAGTAAAATATATTACCCATAACTCTAGTAAAATATATTACCCATAAATCTAGTAAAATATATTTCCCATAACTCTAGTAAAATATATTACCCATAACTCTAGTAAAATATATTACACATAACTCTAGTAAAATATATTTCCCATAACTCTAGTAAAATATATTACCCATAAATCTAGTAAAATATATTACCCATAAATCTAGTAAAATATATTACCCATAACTCTAGTAAAATATATTACCCATAACTCTAGTAAAATATATTCTAGTAAAATATATTACCCATAACTCTAGTAAAATATATTACACATAACTCTAGTAAAATATATTACCCATAACTCTAGTAAAATATATTTCCCATAACTCTAGTAAAATATATTACCCATAACTCTAGTAAAATATATTACCCATAAATCTAGTAAAATATATTACCCATAACTATAGTAAAATATATTACCCATAACTCTAGTAAAATATATTACCCATAACTCTAGTAAAATATATTACCCATAAATCTAGTAAAATATATTACCCATAACTCTAGTAAAATATATTAAACTTACATGATTTATAAGTTTCTTTAATAGTTTTCAGTTGTTCATTTGATCTGGTACAAATAATTTCCACTAAAACTTGTTCATCTGTACCTAAACCCTGTTGAATATCAAATAACATCAATAAGATATTAGCACCAAACTTAACTTTCTATTGTATATTCAGTTTGAGCCCGGTAACTCAAACAAATGGTTGTCTTGGGTTCTAATCTCAATCGGCTTGTGAAAGTCACATGACCATGAATAAGTCATATTTCCTCATTATTCCTATTAACCCAGATGAAAATGGGTATTGCTCATCCGGAAAAGATCAATGCCAAGAGGTTTGGTCAAGGACCAACTTGTTGAAAAGATGTAAGTTCTTATTCTTGTAAACGAAATGGTTGTTTATTCCATTGAATATCCCCAATTCACAACTTTGGCAGCTAGAAAACCTCTTTTAAATCTGTTCATGCAAGTTAACCTACAGTGTGCACAAAGTAAAAGGATGAACAAACCAAATACTAACGATCCGTAACCGCAAAACGAAACCAGAAATCCAAAAACAACATAATGGCGAAACATTGGTTGCAGCTAACCAAAAGATGTAATATTACTACTTCCAAACGTATTTAACAAAAGCAGATCCTAACTCACCTTGATGGCTTTATTGAGTTTTTTAGCATCAAATTCAGCACTAGATAACAATAGATCTGTACAAATTGTTTTAAAATTACCACTCAATTCGCTTTTCAACTCACTGGCTAAATCCTGTCAAAAAAAATAAATACATTAGGTTTAAAGATTACAAGGCACTATATTACTGAGGACAGATTTTACCAGATACACTACATGATGAGAATGTGTATACATTATACAGACTAGTCACAATTTTATGGTATGTGACAATACTGAAAATTCAAAAACTCAATGGTAATTAACTCGTTTA